TGCTTGTCATATGTTATTATTGGGTTGACATTTGTGACAAAAAGGGAGAGAATATTTTAGGTACTTATGAGAGGAATTTGGGAGATTTACTCTTGACTAGCCCAGGTATGTTGCATGTGAACTTAGTAAGTGGGAGTTTGTTCTAATACTCAAGGGAAATACATTAACAAACTTGACATGAAGTTACCTATTTTGCTTTGTTTATTTTACACTTGTTATTTTAATTGTAAACACCAACTAAAGGGAGAGAACTTGATTGCATTGTCATGATATATCTATAGGTTCTTAAGTATATTGGACAAAGTAGTTCTTACATATTTTCACTTGCATGATGTTAACTTGAATGTCATATGCTTATCTTGGTGATTTTCATACTTATGATTATGTTATGTCTTTCATATATATGATGTTTTTCAAAAAGTATTGGTTTGAGTTGTGGTGTGCAAGACAATAATCTTCAAAGCTTTCATTAAAAAGATAGTTCTTGTACATAGTTTTAAGATTTAGGGCTTATACATGAGTGTTGATATTATTTTACAATTCATTTTATTTTCAGTGATGTTCGAGTTGTAATTTTTAATTTCTTACTTATATATTTTGTCACGAAATTGCCAAAGGAAGAGATTGTTAGGTATATATTTATAATTGCCTAATTTCATGAAGTCCATGTAAATCTCAACTAAAATCCATAGTTATCAATCTTCAAAGATCATGATCCGTAAGCGACAAAATAATGGAAGGAGATCTAGCTACAATGCTACATCAAGACTACTCAAATGCACCTTCAAGCTTAGTACAAATGTAATGATCTTAGAGACCTAGATTCCTTGGTTTAATTTTAGACTTAGAATGGTTAAGGAGAACAAAATTAAATTTGGAATATCCAAAAATAACTCCTAAGATTTTTCGTTGAAAATATTTTCTAAATCTTAAATGTGTTTTGAAAAGATAGAATGAATCATTTATCGGACCCTTTTTTTTTTAACATATATCGGACCCGATTTGATCAACACCCTTTAATACTCAATAGGTCAAGTTTTTTCTTGATTTCTAGCTTAAAAACCAGTGTGGATCGCTCTATGTTCGCTAGCCTTCGCTAGCACATTTCTGAAACACTTAGGTAGACAAAGTTGGAGAACCAAGTGGAGACCAATAGATAACTTATATTTCCCTACACTAACCTGTGATTATATTATGTCTTTTACATATATGATATTTTTCATGAGGTAGTGGTTGAGTTGTTGTGTGCATGAGTATGATCTTCAAAGGAATATCAAAGATAATTTGTACATAGATTTGAGATTGTGAGAATTGCACTTCAGCGTTGAGGTCGTTTTATAATTACTTTTGTTCTTTGTGGTTTTCAAGTTGTAATATTGAATTTCTTACTCTTGTATTTTGTCACGAAATTACAAAAGAGGGATATTGTTAGGAAATAGATTATAATTAGTTAATTTTGTGAAGTCTTGTTGTAAATCTCAACTTAAGTCCATGGTCATCATGCTTCAAGGATCAAGTTCTGCAAGCTTCAAGGAAAGGAGGAGTTCTGTAAACCCCCACATTTTTATCTTTATATAACAACATTATTATGTTTTAAAAGGCTAATATATGTAATTATATATGCATGAACTATGTAGATTGTAAGTATAGAAATAAAAATGTTAGTTGAGGTAATGGGGTATGTTGTAAAAGGTTGGAAGTATTCCAAAGTGAAAGCACACTTTAGAGAGAATTTGGGTAAAAAGGATATTGGACACTGTCTAGTGTTTGGATCATAACGTTTTACCCTGACATCCTTTTGATCCGAAATTTCGACAGTAGATAGTAGACTTCTAGGGCTACAAAATAGTATTTCATAAAACTTTTCCAAATCGACCTGGAAAAAGGCCAAACATCAAGGAAGTTTCAAAAAAAATTGGGAGGACATTCGAACAACAGTGAGTCCTAGTACTTTGGTATGTGCAGAGCTCTGATGGAAATTAAAAGTACTGAGAGCAACCAACATTCAAACACCAAAGTGACGTTCTAACGTAAACTAAGAAATTGCACTATTGATGTTCGAACGCCAAATGACGTTCGAACGTGAGTTACGGATTCTGAGTTTCAGATTCACGCACAGGAGACCATTTGGTTTCCTATAAATACATAAAGACACCTTCTTTAGCCCTATTTCAACATTTCTAACCCTAGGAAGTCTTAGAGAGGAAGAAAGAAGGAGAAAAAACACCAGATCAAGGAGGATTTTCATATTAAAGTGGATCAAATCTCAAGTTCTTCACATAAAACTAAAGAAGAAGGTAGGTGTTTTCTTCCACTCTTGTTCATTGATGCTAGGGTTTATATGTACATATGTTTTGACTCTTAATCATATATATTTGTTATGAAATTCTTGTTTCTTGATGTTCTTGCAAACCTTACCATGTTTTGAAAGAATTTAAAGTTTGATAACCATAGAAATTCATGTTCTTGATGTCAAAACCTAGTTTTGAGAAAAATGGATTTTTCTTTTTGATATTCTTTTGTTCTTGATTCAAAAACTCTAGTGCTTTTCTTGGAACAGTAAAAGCCTATATTTGGATGATATCTTGCTTATTTTCTTGAATTGTTATGTTGGAAAAATACCTATGAAATTGGGGGTTTATGATTTACTTGTGATTAGGAAAAAGACTTATGAAATTGGGGGTTTTGAAATTACTTGTGATTTGAGAAAATGGTTGATATTACCTTTCTTGTATGGTTTGTTGTGATGGACTAGAATTACCTTCGAAAACTGTCGTAGAGTGTTAGAGGTTAGTCTATCCCAGTGGGGGTGAGATGGTTGTCTAACACTTGTAATGGATTGTTGTTTGTGAGAACAACCACTATTGTTCATGTAAGTTCGAGACTGAAGGATAGTATACCTTTCCTTAGAAGGACTTGTCAATGCCGTGGGAGATGGTATACGCCCTTCCTATAGTGGTTTGTGTGGATATAATGGGTGAACAAGGTAGATTCGTCGTGTAGATTCATGGGAAACAACCAACATACAGGAGAATATGGGATGATGCTTTTGAATGATTAATTGATTTCTTCAATTCTGACATATTTATTCCTTTCATTTAACTTATTGTTATTGCGATAACTTGAGGTCGAATAAATTTTCACTATTTTATTACAAATTATATATGATATTTTAGAAAGTGAGACCGAATTATTTTATATATTTTTTAAACTTTGTTCGAGTTTGGGAGGATGTTGCTACAAAGTTTAGTGCTCACCTCGTACAAACAATATCTATTCTCAGATTTCGGTTTAGAGGAAGAACTCGGAGGTGATGAGCAAGTAGCTTGGGAAGCGCAAATGGATGGAAGCGTGGATCCTAGGGGGGATGTCTAGAGTTGATCTCTCCATGCCCTAGACTAGGAGATGTATTGTGATACAATGGATGAATGATATTTTGTTTATTCTGTTGCAAGATTTAGTTTGATTTTGAGATGTAATTATCTTAGTTTGACATATTTTTTTTGGATGTAGATGTCATGGTTTGGCATATTCTTTTGAATGATATTGTAGTTATTATGTATGATGAATGGAATTTTTCTTATTTATGGATTTTATTAGTTTCTCTCCTAATGTGAAAGGTTTTAAATTGTAATGTCGTCCAATGTGGATTTTGGGGCGTTACAAGTTCAAGCTTCAAAGCTGAGTCAAGAGGTCTCCATTGCAATTTCAAGAGCTTAGGACAAAAGGTAATAAACTAGATACCTAGGAACCCTTGGTTTAATTTTAAATTTTTGCTCATTAGGTTAATGGAATTGGAATTAGGAATATAAGCGAATGACTCTTAGGTTTTTCATGAATTTTTTTTTCTAAGCATGAAAATGTATTTTGAAAACATAGAATGAATCATATATCAGATCCTATTTGAGCAACACTCTTTAGTGCTTAATAGATTGAGTTTCAAAGACATAATTAATTAGAGAAATTTTTTTCAAGCCAAGGGATCTCTATTGTAAGCCTCAAAATAGCATCTTAAACCTTTAGAGAACCAAGAATAACCCTAGATCCCTATGATCCAAAGGCCAAACTATCTTGATTCTTCCAATTCAACTTCACATATTGAAAAAGGAGATCTTGCTTGATGTTCTACGAAATGCACAATGGTTGTGTGCATATTGAGAGTCTTAGAAAATTATCTTGGAAGATTGCTCGAGGCCTAGACGTTATAACGCAGTGAGCACATTCAAGTGAAGCTACTCAAAACTTCAGTGGGTGATATTCAAAGGATAGATTGGCAAGGAAATTAGCATCTAACCATGGACGAATTGATTGAGGTATAACATCAAATATTTGTAAATTGTGTATTACTGAATTGAGATAGGCGAACGGGGTGTGAGTTTCACAGTTTTTCCCGAGAGGATTTCTATGTAAAAATTGATTTTCTTATGGATGTTCTTATTCTTGCTTTAATTTTGCACAAGAGCGCACACACACAACAATTGCAATTGCACATACTATATTGGATGAATTGACACTTTAATTAATTTATTCAATTTCTTCATCAAATTCGGTTTGTGGAAGTTGACTTGTTGGAGGGATTGGAGGATTGATTGATTGGATTTTTGGGTGTGTCTTGCATACACATATCATCCATTCATTCAAGAGAAATTGTCCATGAAGTGGGTAAAAGGGTTCGAATGCTTCATTGATTAACTAATTTGGTAATTGAGGTGATTAGATTTTAAATTTGTAGTTGTGCAAGTGATTTCTCATGTATAATCGAGATCGAAGAAATGTACATTAGACAATTCCAATAGTTAAGGCTAGTATAAAATGAATCATTTAAATATTTAGAAATGGCAAAATGCCCCTCCCAACCCACCTACCCTCCTCCCAAAATTATAAAAAAAAATAATAATAATAAAATTCCACTCACCCAATCAATCATTTCTATCCATAGTATTTTCATATGAATTAACCGTACTAGAAAATCCATGTAATACTTGGGCACTAGGACAAAAGCTACTATCAATGGGTCTTTGGTACAATGGTACTCATTTGTTTGTGAAGACTTTATTTTCTTGAAATCAATGGTTCAACTCGCCCCTCCCTTTCTTCCCCAAAAAAAAAAAAATTACAAAAGCTACTATATAAACGCCCTCTATATAAAATTAAAGCCATATATATGCAATATTGTCAATTACAGAGACTCTCTTTACATCATAAATGAATGGCCTCCGCCACGGCTCATACTACTATTGCTGCCAACAGGACCACCACGTTGCTAGCTACACCATTGCTCTTGTGGAAACGTATTAGTAAAAATTTTAGGAGTGAAACATATAGTAAAGGACAGAAGGGTAATTTTAGGACTAGCCATTAAGCTGACATGACCACAATGACTCTCCCAAGCTGACCTGGTCTACTACCATGTCCATATCAAAGATGGGCCTGCTTTCTGAACCCATAACCTTAGAAGAGGGTGAGCCACTGCTTGTTGGGCTAATGGCTTGGCCTGATGCGGCATGACGCACCCGGAGGTGCACCACCTCGGCCTGAGCTATAGCCAACTGGGTCTGAAGCACATCAATCTGTTGTTGCAGAGATGATATGGCCCCGACACACCCGTACACTGGGTCTCGAACTCGAGCATTGGCTTCATACACCATGCTACTAACCGCATCTCCTCGATGGCGCTCGGGCAACTCCTGCAATTTCCACGATCATACTTGGGCTTAGTCATTAGCTTCAAAACTTATAGTGGGCTTGGCCTTGGGCTTGGAGCCCAATTCAAAGAACAAAGACCCTACGTGCCTTCCAAATATTACAGCATAATGACGTCATCGTGTGTCATTTTGGAAGAGCAAATAGCCAGACTAATCTTGTTCATTCGTTTGTGACCATTCACTTACATATCTGATTTAGAAGCCCATTTTCAATGATGGTACCAACCTTGTCTGATTGAATATGCATATAAAGACATCTTTCCCTGTCTAAGGAGTCAAATTTCTACGAGAAAATATATTTTCTATGAGTTAGTTGATTTTGGATCCTCTATCCACGAAAGAGAGTAGTAATCTGGAGAATAATGACGGATCAAGAGGTGGACGAGACGATCATATCCCTGAAGGTGTAAGAGAATTTCTTATTATACTATATATGCTCATCTAGAAACTTTTAAAAAATTTAATCAATCCACTTCCCATGGACAATGATGGATCAAAGGGACGCACAAGAGGATCCGGAACCTTAGTGTGTAACAAATTTCTTAACTCAATTATGTCATAAGCTATCTATATATTTTCTCAAAAAAATTCGTAGACTCCCCCAACTTTTTAAAAATTTAATCGATCCTCTTCCCCGAAAGCTAAATTCCACCAGTTTTCCTCATAAATTATTTATGTATACTGACCTGAGCTACTGTACAGGCTTACAATACTTTTTTCAAAAATTGAATATGTCGCTGTTCATCTCAAAATTAGAAATTTGGATTCCTTCCTACTGCGAAAACGGTTAGTCAACTCGGACTTCTATATCACTATATATCTTGAACTTGGGACATGTTTTCCAAGAATAAAAAATGATAGATGGGGCAATTTCACGTGATTCAAAAACAGCCGTTAGGAAAATAACAAAGTAGGTAGCTAGAGACCATTTTATTCTAAAAAGGGGGACCGACTTCAGTGTCTTCCGGTGGAGGTGATCATGGAATGACTTTTTTCTTTAAAAAAAAAAATAGATAGTAGATATGATTTTAAGCAAAAAAATTAATTTCATCCTAAAAAAAATAAGAAAATACTATACAATTCAAACGAAATCCAAAAATGACAACTCAAACACATATCATTTCTTGAATGATTGTTAGATAAGTAGATCTCATTAAAAAAATTGATGGGACCCACTTACGTAAAGAATGATATGTATTGGGACTACAATTTTTTGAGTTTTATTTAGATTTAATAACTGTTTTTTAAAAAACTTTTTAAAGCAAGAAAAGGTAATTTCATCTATAGGAAAAAAATGTTTATTATTTATTTAATGTAGTCTTTATGAAACAAATAATATATTTGTAATTGTACATTTGTATACTATTTTACATGTGACTAAGTTTGAGAAAAGAAGTGAGCCCAAATAAGAAAAAGAAAAATACAACAAATATGCAAGAACAATCTTTGCTTAGAAACCGTATTCAAAAAGCAAAAACAATAAATCAATAACTCTTTAAAAACTGTTCCATTTTTAAATTTTTTTACATGATTAGAGCTTGAAGTCTTAGTAATTCTCCCAGATTAAAAGTCTTCCTTTTTTTTTGGAGTAATGGTATTTGAGACAAAATCATTATACTCTCTTCCTAACGCAATGAAATTGAAAAATAAAAAATAAAAAAATTGTGGTTACAAAGTTTGGAAGAGGCACTTTCTTTGATTTCTCTAAAACAGACTAAAGGAAACCAAATAGATTGAAAAGTGCATGAGAAAGAAGCAAGGTGTAACCACTTTCCTTTCTTCTCCTTCTCCATCTCCTTTTCTATCACACTGGGGAGAAGTCATGAAAAGGAACGAAAATGCTTGAGGAAAGAAACTTCTTAATAGGGGTAAAATTGCTACTTTTATTTTCTCTCTCTATTCTTTATCAAAAAATTGTCCATAAACATTTTTCTCTCTCTTTTATGGCACTCACTCAAATTAGGAGAATGCTATGTATACCAAAAATCTTACCAAAAAGTGTTTTTATCAAATAAATTAACAGTTCTATATCATTATTAGACAAACAAAATGCTGATAAAAAATATTTTGATTAAATATAGAACTGTCAATTTATTTGATAAAAACACTTTTTAATAAATATTTTGATAAGTATAGCATTACTCCAGATCGGTCAATCCACTTTCCCTGATCCGTTAACGGAGATCAAATTGAAAATTCCTATAAAGCAAATTTTTGCACACCGCATCTAAAGAAGAATATTCACGGGCATGCTGTGAAAGCAACTTCAAGTGAGAATAAGTTCTATCTAGAATGAGGAGAATTACACTTTGATTTTGTCAACTAAGATCTATGTTTTACATTGCACCCTCAACTAGCACGTTTGCCTCATTACACCATTTTTTATGGTTATTATTCTCACAACATCTCACTAATTTTCATTCATTATAATTTGGTGAAAGTGGTCTCGTCTCACTCCTAAACTATGTAATTTTGTTTTAGTTTGCTCCAACGCATAACATCTTCCATACAGAAAAATACTAAAGTTTGCTTGTGAGGCAGTATGAAATTAGTGCAAGTAACTGAGAAACAATGTAAGAAATTCAAAAACTTGAGGGGCAAAATGAGTATGAGATCATTGTTGAGCGGCTGAAACTGAAATTTATCTCATTGATTATATTTTTCAGTCTCATTAAAAGGAAGCAATTCTTTGATGATGTTGCCTCCAAACTCACCACATGCAATCTTCAAAGAGAAATCTAATATGGAAAGAATAATGGGTAAGAACCTGTAACATTTTGTTGACATTGCTAGCACCAAACACCTTGTGCACATTGGCAAACTTCTGGGGCTCATCTGCTGGAAAGTAAGGAGCAAACACACAATCCTGAGCACACCTCCTTCTTAGAAGCTTGCATGCTGCGCATGGTGAGGCTGCACCTTGTTTCCTCCCACTGTCCTTCATCCTTGGAAGCTTGGGTGTCTACTCGAGGCCCAACACAAACTCCAAGAGTCTACTGTTAAGGACAACTTACCCTTGATTTGTAGGGCACTTTGGCTTTAATAAAAACAAAGGACTATCTATAGCACTAGAACAGAAGAAGCTAACCAGAGACAGAGAAAAAAGAGCTAGTAGGGAAAAATGAGAAAAGTCATGAAGAGAGAGAGTGGATGGTGGAAAAAGAAAATCAAAGGATGGAGGACATGAAGAGAAGGGATGGTTTATACTATATAAGCACCATGGAGTGCACATCTGAAGTTGGTCCCATGAAAGGACTCTTGGATTGTTGTCGGCTAAAACCATTTTTCTTGACAAGACATCTTTTGGCGCCATTTTTTTTTTTTCCATTTCATCTTACAAGTAAAAATTTTGTGCAAATAGTACGGACGTTCACCCAATCTTACAGATAAAAAATATAATTTTTTATTTTTTTATTTGATATATTGTGAAATTTTTTTTTTTTACCTACTCTATCCGATCAAGTGTGATATTCATATCCGACTTCTGGTCAAATTAATAGATTAGAAAGTTGAATAGAAAATTGGATGAATACTTTTATAATTATTAATTTTTTGATTATTTTAATATGTCAATTAAATAATATGCACCAATTTAAGAACACAATAAACTAATAACACTATAACTTAAAACAATTACAACATAAACATTAATCATAATTGTTGCACAAATACAATAATAATTATTTTAATTTTAAACAATATGGATTGGGTAGGAATACGAAAATCAATGATTATTCTGCATTCCTATCCAAATTTAATCGAAAGACCAAAAAAATTTTCTCATTTCTACCCGATTTTTTCGGCTAGCCATTTAATAAGGTCGGGTAGGGTAAAAAATTGAGGCTAATTAAAAATTTGAACACCTCTAGTAAATAGTGTGGGGACTAGAAGCATTGCCAAGTTACTTCTGCCAAATGCATGGCTACTGCCAGTCGGGTGTTGAATAGTGAATAGTATAAGGCCTAGGTCTTACTGCCCAGTTGTTATCGTATATTTGTTACGCCTACCTGACACTACCTACCTATTACTGTCTAACTATTACTGCCTAGTTGTTATTGCACAACTGCTACTGCCAGTCGGCACTAGTCAAAGGGGGTCCTTTTCACGAGCCTACTCGCAACCATTGAGTCTCAACTACTCAGCTAAGGTCCAACCAAGGACTTAGAGTCCTAGTCCAATTCTACTCTAAGTATCAAAGGACTAGTGATAAGACTAACAACGCCTCCTAGCGAGCATATCTCTTCATTCAATCTAGGATGTAGTATCCTAGTGCGATTCTACCTCGAATAAGCAGGAGTTGGAGATAAGGATCTAGGACCAAGAGTCCATATCTAACTCTACTCCATGCATCTAGGGCCTGGTGACAACGTTGAGTCAATTAACCAAGAGTTCTTGTTCCTTTGGGATACATCCCTATTGTTATAAATAAAGTCCTCCTGGTACAAAGTAAATCAATCAATTCTAGTCTATTCACTCAAAATTCTCTCTAACTTGCAATCTGACCTAAGACTTCTTCACCACCCTCTCTATCCGTACGAGGTGGTTACTCTTTGTGTGAAATTATTCTCGCCCAATTGGCACCGTCTGTTGGAAATGATTAAGTTTTCTACCAACAAAGAAGCTTTGAGCCATGTCTCACGAGAGAACCCTTGTCTTGAGAACCAGCCGCACAACACTTCCACTACCTCCAATCCTTGAAGATCCCACTAACTATGATCTCTAATTATCAAAGAACGCACTACATCGTGATGGACGAAAACACTCTAAATAAAAACCTCCTTCTCATTACAACTTACCTGCCATTGTTCCAGAAAGCAAGTTAGCTACTGAGATAGATCACATGAGGCAAAAAGGGAGAAGACATAGGAGTTAGAATCCCTCAAGCAAGGGGTCCTTCTCCAAAGGGGCAATAAATTTACTAGTCAAGTCATATGCCCACCTCATCAAAGTGACAACCACCATGATCACTCACATGAGGCTCAGTCCACTGGTCACAAGAGCAAGTCACTGACAATGAGCTATTCGACCCATAATCTGCGTCAAGTCAAATATTCACCAAGACACACTATTTCTCAATATTTTCCTAGGGACCTTTTCACCTAGAAGACACCCTCTTCATCATATGGAGAGATGAGGTAAATCGCATGAGGAACGCCACCCAAAGGAGTATAGAGAAAGGCATGAGAGTTCAACCTGTCACTCTACACAAGATGATTGGTACAACGATTATAGAAAAATGGAGTGTAAGGGTTTTGAACCAACTTGTGAAGTGGCCAACCAATTGTAACACACCTTCGCTCGAGATAACCTCATACATTTAGTGAAGGAGAGGATAAGATAGACCCTTATAAAAATGACCACTACTCCTTTTGTTTGATTCATACAAGAAGTCGAGCCACCACATAAGTTCTTTTCTCCATCATTCGGGTTGTATAATGAAAAGTGTGATCCCGTCATCTACATTGGGGCCTTTATTAATAAGACGGCCCTCTAGACGAGTAACTATGTGTTGATGTGTAAGATGTTTCCCTCAAGTTTGGCGAGGTCAGCTCTAAAGTGGTTTCATGGGATGCCTGTTAATTCGGTGTTCTATTGGGAATAACATACAGGAGAGTTCGTCTCTTGATTCATAACAATAGTTAGGAGCCAATGACCATTGGAACACTATAGGCGCTACACAAAAAATGTGGAGAAACTCTTCGTGAGTATGCCACGAGGTACTTGGAAAACAATATCGACATAGAAAAATGCAATAAAAAGAGCACTGTTGTCTCTTTCCGTTTGGCCCTGCCCAAAGAAAACAAATTGAGGAAGCACCTCACCATGTGGTTGCCTCAGAGTATGTCACACTTGTAGGAATTTATCAAGAGGTACGTGAAAGTGGAGGACGACAATGAAAAAGGTCAACTGGCTGCCAAAGAAGAACCAAATTAAAGACGACAACATTCCTAACCCATCAAGGAAAGACAGGTCATCCAAGGGAATGGGGGACTCCTACCAAGGAATCAACACTCTCTTCAAATAGTTTATCTTAAAGATAAGGAGTATTTTAGGTGGTCACCTAAGATAATAGAAAATCCATCAAAGCGGGACCAGAACCTCCATTGTTCTTATCACAAGGACAAAGACCACCAAACAAAGAAATTCTTGGCACTCAAGCGCCATCTAGAAGAGTTGATCAATCAAGGCCACTTCTCTTGGTACAATGATAAGGAAAAGACTATTAAGAAGGAGGAGGAGCAATAAATCAAATCAGATGACCAACCAGATAACTAATAGTCTCCGTGGTTGCACCTTAAGCCAACCCTTGTGGTTGTACCTTCAGACAACTCCTCTAATTGTACCTCCAGCCAACCCCCGTGGTTTCACCTCAAGCCAACCTCCTTGGTTGCACCTCTAGCCCACTTCTATGGTTGTACTTCAAGCCAATCTTCATGGTTACACCTCAAGCCAACCTACATAGCATCACCTCAAGACAAACTTCGTGGTTGCACCTACAACCAACCTCCTTTGTTTCAACTCAAGTCAATCTTTATGGTTACGCTTCAAGCTAACCTCCAGTTGCACCTCAAGCCAACCTCTGTGGTAGCCCCTTAAGACAACCTTCATGGTTGTACCTATAACCAACCTCCTTGGTTGCACCTCAAGCCCACCTCTGTGATTGCACCTCAAGCCAATCTCTTTTCCCTTTATCCAACCTCAGTGGCTACACCTCTAGACAACCTCCTTGGTTGCATCTCAAAGTTCTTTTGCCTCTTACCAACTCCTAAGGTTGTATCTCAAGCCAACCTCTGTTGTTGCACCTCAAGATTACAGCTCAAGCCTACTTATATGGTTGTCCTTTAAGCAACCTCCACGATTGTCCTTCTAGGTTACTTGGCCTCCATGCAATCTCCAAGGTTGTCCTTCAAGCTAATTCTCCTCCATGCAACCATTAAGGTTGCCCTCTAAGTTACTCTGCCTCTGACGGATGATCTATAACTTCTACGATTACTCAGCAGGCTACTTAGCCTTTCTTAAAGATTCGCCACCTCTGAGCATCAGACACCTCGACTCATGGTGACCCTATCCGTTCAATCAAAATGGGGGCACAAATGTTAGAAGACTTGGACCACCATCACTAAGGAATGTCTCCATGATCTCAAGAATCAAGAAGTCAATCTTAGACCATGAAACGTCCTCCCAAACTCTAAGCTTCTTAGGAGACTAAAGCCCTAAGCATCTTAGGCAACTAAAGCACTAAGCTTCTTAGTTGACTAAAGCCCTAAGCTTCTTAGGCAAGAGAAACCCTAATCCTTTAGGCAATAAAGGCCCAAAAAACCTAAGTGATCCAAAAACATCCTTAATTAATTCCATCTATTACATGAGGTATGTGGAAAAATTGTGGGGACTAGATGCATTGCCAATTGCTACTGTCGGTCAGTAGTAACAAGGCCTAGTTGCTACTGCCCAACTGCCACGGCCTACTTGCTATTGCCCAGTTGCTACCGCCTATCTGCTAATGCATAGCTGTTACTACCCAGCTGCAACCGGCTACCTACTACTACCTACCTACTATTGCCTAACTACTATTACCTAGTTGCTACTATCAGTCGGCACAAGTTAAAAGGGGTCCTTGTGCGATCCTACTCATAACCACTAAGTCTCAGCTCCTCAGGTAAGGTTCAACCAAGACTTAAGAGTACTAGTCCAACTCTACTTTAAGTATCAAGGGACTAGTGATAAGGCTAACAACACCTCCTAGCAAGCATATCTCTTCCTTCAATCTAGGACCTAGAATTCTAGTACGATTCTACCTCGAATAAGCAGGAGCTAGATATAAGGAACTAGGATCAGATTCGTAATCTAACTCTACTACGTGCATCTAGGGCCTAGTGACAAGGTTGAGCCAATCAACCAAGAGTTCAAATTCCTTTGGGATACATCTCCCTATTACTATAGATAAAGGCCTCTAGGTACAAGGTAAATCAATCAATTTTAGTCTATTCACTCAATACTTTTCTTTGACTTACGATCTGACTTAAACATCGGAGTCCATATGACCGCATTTGACCATCGGTTCACCTAGGTATTCTCTCATCTTGTAGATTCCATAAAACTGCTTCACCACCATCTCTGCCCATACGAGGTAATTACTCTTTGTGTGAAATTATTTTCGC